CGGTAAGATGAGAGACCCTGGGAACGAGGTTGCAATGAGAGCACCCTTAGTAGCTCAGTTTCATAAGGTTGTATTTCATATGCCCTTCTGCCATCGCTTCACGAGTCATCTACCATCATACCTTCACGCTTCATCTACCATTGCTTCATTATTGTTCTGGTCGTTACAGTAATTGTAACGTCCATTTTCTTGTCAATTCAATCATAATATTATCATGGTCACACATGTTCCTGACTTCAGTGTTTGGAATCTTCTGTGGCCATCTTATGGAGGCAATTTATTGTTGCAGTGAAAGGCAATCGTTTCAATAGAGTCATGACAAATGTCTTTGCTCATCAATTCAGAAACGAATCCATTATGTTGCTTTGTTTATTGCATAAATGGATTCGATTCTTAAAGGGACACTGTCACGATAAATTTGCTTAAAACAATTATAAATTGACGAAATGGTCTCTAAATTTATGCAATATGAACTTAATTAGCTCGAACTAAATGATTAAAAGCGATTTCTTGAAGAAAGTCCACACTGCAGCAACATTTTTGCAAAATATCAACGATTTTTGAGCTAAACTTGAACCTTTGAAAAACTGACATTCTGACGATTTTTCAAAAATCCATATCGCAATCCGTTTCCATCCTCGCCATCGTTAACCATCCTCAATTCCTGATGGGTTTTAATCTTTTGTCGACTACTGTTCTTCAAAATATAATCGTTATCGTTCAGTCAATGATCGATATATGCTTTTGAGATTTCCAAAATCATGCTAAAAATGGTGACAGTGTCCCTTTAAAATATCCTGGAAAAAGGGTCTTAGACATTGTGCCAGAAATTAACATGATCCTAGTGGGTGATAGAAAAATCTACGCGCCATATATTTCCTTGGAAAGATACTTGGAAAAGTATTTTCGACAGGAATTCCAATAATTTGCACGAGATGCATGCCTGCGTTTGCGTTATCTCAAGCCCAGAGTTTCCCCGGCACAACTGCCCGAGAAACTCTGGGCCCGAATTTGTCAGTGTCCATCGTCCGCCATTATTATTTTTTCTTTGTATTGAACGTGATTTCCTTGTTGAAATGCTCTCTTCCCTGGATTCGGTCGGATAATTTTTTCCTTCCATATGGCTTAGTAGATAATGAGTGAAGTCGACATGAGGGACAATCCAGAATTAGACTTCGGTGATCTTGGAAAGAAATGGATAAGCCGAGTGCGGCAGATAAGAGACTTCCAAAGTATATTCATGAAACATCTTTCAGAATACGTATATAAATGCTTTGAACTGCATTCTGAACCGAATCTGAAAGTTCTGATCAACGAAAAGAAATGTCAGAGAATGATATTTGGTCCATTGGAGTACTTCGTTTGTGGCGAGGATCCCACGATCGGATTTCAAAAACTGCAGAGCAAGAATGCTCCTTCTCAACTTTGTGGGAGAGTGTTTAAGGTCGGCGAACCAACCTATTCATGCAGGTCTGTGTAAACTGTACGTTTGTATTTTTTCGGAGCTACAAGAAATAGAGATGTCGCTATTTTATGCTGATAGTAAATCGTTGTAGAGGTACAATGCAGTAAACTTGTACTGTACATGTACATACTCATGTTTTGCTTTGAGTGTTGAACTACGTCGTAATCGTATGCAGTTTCTTAGATCTGGGGAACGTAAGCCTTTTTAAAGGTTCAGATGTCTTAAATTGATTTGCTGCTGAAGAGTGAGATTTCAGACAGCACAGTCATGATAAAGCTTGACCTCAATGTGAGGGAGGTCTTGGGACATGTTTGTTTGTTACTTGTTTACAGATTAGATAGTGAAAGGAACTGTAGAATACTTGGCCACTTGCTCCATTTGTATTCCATTGCAAGGCTGTGATCCAAGGAGTATCATGAGGAGCCCTGTGGTTCCTAATCGTGAAATCCTGGGTGCCCAGCACTTGAAGTGCTCATAAGTGCTCATCTAATTCTACATTTCACCTAGTGAACTTATGTGAAAAAATTTTTCGATTTGGATAAAATGCAATTTTTTTTTATAAGTTTTCAAAGACGTTCAAATTTGCCGTCATTTTGGTCCATCATTCGCATCAGTCTTCCTCAGTTTGAAGTGAGTTGTGATGTGGGTTCAGGAACATGTGATTTGGGTCATGACTGATCTGACTTGAAAACAAGTGGAAATTTTGCTTCAGAGTTGTCTATATTTAGTTGAAAATGCTGGAAAGGTGCATTGCCGCTCTTTCTAACAATGTTACTGATCCAGAAAACAACATCAGTCTTCATCATAGGTTCCTGAACCTATGTCACAGGCATCAGTCTCGTGGCCATTTTGAGCACGTTATTCTTGTGATCAGCGGCAGGGGTTGACCGCAAGAAAATAGAATTTTGAACTTTGTAAAGATTCGTAAAAAAAATTGCGTTTTATCCAAATCAAAAAATTTTTTCGCAGAAGCTCATTAGGTGAAATGTAGAATTAGATGAGTGAAAAAAAATTTTTGACATTATGGGCACTTTAAAGGGGCTAGGTCACGTTACTTTAGGTGATTTTGTTTAATTTTGTTAA